GCTTGAGAATCAGAAAAAAAAAGTTTTCTTTGTATTTACAGAATGACACATTTTAAAGATGAAGTAAATGTTATACAATTCCATGTCCTAGAAACTATAATATGATTTGTTTATGGTTTATCTTTGCCTTATTGATATGTTTACTGAGATCTACATTTTAAAATTTTAAAGGGTTTTGTTAGAAAATATCTTTAATCTCAAAGTCTTCAAACTGTTTGGGGCTTATGAGGATGACTGAGTATTTCTACTTACTATTTCAAAAACATGCTGCTTGGAAAATAATGGAGTATAAATATTATCAGACTACCATCCTAACAAAATACATTGGCAAGTAAGATACCCTCATTTTTCTTAGTACCAACATGCATACAAAAATTCTATAACCTTTCTAAAAACAGTTATTGAATAGTCATTTTTTTAATTTTAGACATTGTATTAATGTTGGTGCAATTTCTTCAACTATACAGTATCTGAAAATAAATACACATTGGAAGTGACATATTACTGAGAGGCAGTGTTGCGTAATGGGTAAAAGTACCAGGTACTTGAACAACACTGCCTTGGCTCCAATTCCAACTCTACCATTTAATAGCTGTGTCGCCTTGAGATAGCTACCAAACCTAGTTCCTTTGTTTCCTCATCTTTAAAATGGAGATAATAATAGTACTTACCTCATAGGATTGCTGTGAGTTAATTTATGTCAACTGTTTAGAACAGCGCCAACACATAGGAGGCACACAACAGATATTAGCAATTATTATAAGCTGTTATACTTGGAGCCAAACCACACACATTTGCCTTTCAAGTACTACTTTTGTGCAGGTGCTACATCCACCGGGGTCTTTAAGTTCAGGTAAACATTGAGACTTACAAGAATATCATAGGCTACCTTGGCACCAGTTTACCTAGAAGGTTATAGGACAGGAAATATATTTCTCCAGGCAACACCAGGCTTTTCTCTCCACAGGAGTCCCAGCAACTGTAGTTGCCATGGCACTTCACACAGGGGTTGGGGAGCTATCTATGCTTTCCCCAGGTGACAGCCCAGGTGCAAGGGTATGGGATCTATCTACATCAGTGGGAGTTAGCAACCTCATGCAAAACACATTTCTGACAAAGGTCTTGTACCCGGAATGTGGAGAGTTAGAGTAGTATAGTACAAGACATTCTGGTGTTCTGACGTAACATAGATAAGGAACTTACAAAATTAAAAGAAGGATAATTAGCATGTCTTTCTTGGATATTCCTCTTAACTATCAATAATTACAGTAAGATCTGAACAAAGATTTGCCAGCGAACATTCCACTCTGATGTAGTTGTTGAGGACTTTTATCACAGGTATTTAACTTCGAGTTTTGTAAAAAGATCCAGCCATTTTATGTATACATGAACAAAATTTTGACATTTTATGAGGGAAAAGAACATACCTTTTATTGTTGTTCTAACCCTTTTCCACAGCAAAGACTTGCAGACACATGTCTAACTAGGACCAAGCCTTTTGTCTGAAAACATTCTCAGAACTGGACAGATTTGTACTGTAGCTTAACTGAAATCACAGATTACATACCACAAAGCACAAAAGAGACATTACCATAAAATGAACTAAGATCTGTCGAGTGATAATATTGAGAAGGACTCTATTTAGATGGTCTTAATTTGGATTATTTGCAAAATACATCTTGCAGTTAGAGCTAACACTGGGCATCATCTCTATATTCATGTAGATCCTCAAAAAAAAAGAGGCAGAACTTATGAACTATGTCCGATTTACTTTGAACACAGACAATATTGAAGATCTCCTTGTGACATTAATAGACCCATAAGTTTAGTTATTTTGAAACCACATCAGTATTTTAAGAATAAGCACAAGTCACTACCATAAGAAGGATGGCTATATTCCTATTTACTATGGTAGGAGAACAGACTTCCAGTTTATATAGATCACAGGCCTTTAATTTGGATCAAGGTCTTCTTTATTTTTTTTAACCTCATCCACTTTTATGGAAAGAAGGCAACAGGAAGCTGCTTATATGTACTTGCATGCAAATATTTACATATAACCTTAGGAGGTTTCAGGGCCTTAGAAGCCATTTCATTTCTCAGTTGATACCCTGATCAAGAACTCTTCATCCAAATCAGAGAGGATTGTTACCAGATGTTAGGAAAAATAGCTCGTTTTATGGCAAACATTTCAAGTTACATTTACGTAGAAGCCTTTTCAGTTGATGAAAGTGATTTGTAATGGTAAGAGAATTTTTGGACCTGAGTTTTATAGTCTGATTGGTTTACTCTACCAGGCCTTTAGAGTAAAATAACATTCTCGCTTGCACGGGTACACTTGTGAAATTCAGAAAACTTTGTTCAAGAAATTGAACACAGAGATCCCAAAGTGGTACATTAGCCTACTCAAATATGCTTTGTTTCCACAAAGGGAATTCTTTTGAATTCTTCCCTTGGAGGATTTTTCATTAAACTAAGCCTGGTAAGAGGACTTATAATACTTTTTGGAGACATGAAATTGTGCAGTTATTCTCTATGAGTAGGCCTGAGGCACTGCTTAGGCCTCAAACAAAATTCCCTACCATTTGCTTGGCTTGTCTGTGCCCCTTGCTTGTGTGGCCTGTGATTTGGCTAATAGCAAAAAGTCAGGCCTCTTAGGGCATATAGCTCTTGGACCTCAAAGATCCTTATAGAATGTCTTACAAGCTTTCCTCATGAAATAACAGTATTCTTGCAGCAATTGTCCTAATCTGTCTGCAGAACTAGTTTTCATGCTCTCCTAGAGGGATAATTTGTCCTGTGGTTTTCTTCAGTCTACTGGAGGAGAAGTCCTACTACAGTCATTTAGGATTTTTAAATAAAAAGATTTGTCAGAGGCCAGAATAAGAAACCACAATGGCACAGACAGGGCTTTGCTGATTCAGTGAGGAAAGAAGACAAGTCAATTTCCACATTTTAAGTCACGAATTTAACTTAAACCTCCTTTCAAGACTATAGGTTTATGTATAAAACCCACTTGTATAGGTGGGTTCATTTGCTTCAGAAGCAAATGAAATAAATATAATCTATACGTGACAAGATTACAGAGTCAAAAGGAGAAGAGAATGTAAGTTTTAGGGTGGAAGGCCAGAGGCGCTGGTGAAATCTTGAATGACAGCAGGTCCCTAGGACCTTCTTCTCCAGAAGACTTAATGGCAGCACAGAGCCCTGAGAATACACCAAACAGTTTCATGTTTGAAAGAGATTACCAAGGATCCTCAATACTATTCAGGTTAATTCATCACTTAGAAAAACTTTCTTCTTACTACAGTGAGATTGGAAACGACTTTCAGAATCTAACTAGTTCCAGGAGGTCTTTAATGAAAATTGCTAATTATTAAACAGCAGATTTTAGCGTGCAGTTTGTCCACAGTGTAACGTTAATTACAAAGTGTGTTATTCTATTCAAAGTCTGTCTTTTTTTTTTAAGTTGTGTACAGATTCAGAAGTGCTAAGTGTCTGTGAAATACATGTGAGTGTTTCATGAAATCCTGTTTAATGTTTGTAAAAAAATTTTGTCATTCCTGACACATACAAAGATTTTACATTTCTGGCTTCAATAAGTAAAAAGACTCAAAGATGTGTAGTTTTCAAGTATTACTGCCTTTCAAATTACATATTTTTTGGTGTTACCTTTTTAAGGATTTCAGGGTTAGCATATAATGGGGCTAATTAAATTTTTCACTGAGGAAGCAGCCAGCTAGACCACTGCCCCAGGCACATAACCTGAGCTTACTACTTTCCTTCGCTCATTTATTCTGTGTGAGATGAGATTCCTCGAACTGCAAACTGAGTAGAGTACTCAGGCCAGTCAGCTGCTGATGGATTTCAGTAACTACAGAGGCAGTGTTTGAGCCTCACCCTGACAGCACACATCACAGCCAGGTGACAGTGGAAGCACATCTTCCTGTGTGAGTTGGCTGTGGGTGACAATCTGCCAAACTAAAATAATGGAAGAGGCATTATTTATATAAAAATGAACCAACTGGGCTTAGCTCTAAAGTATTTTACAAGATTCTAGGACTATCACCTCATTTTGCCCTGAGATGGTTTTAGTGAACAACCCAGAAAACATAACAACAATTACAAAATAGAATCATGTGGGAAAAGGTGTCTTTTAGTAATTTCATTGGTATATCTTTATAATTAAGCAATTTTGTCAGCCTTCCCAAGAAACAAAGGAAATAATTAATAACAACTATGTGGCAGTCTACTAGGCTCTTTACACATGTTATTTAATTCCAATAAGTACTCTTTTCCTATTTTATATCTGAGGAAACTAGGAGAAAACAGTTAAATGATTTGTTTATGTTACTAAATGGCAGGCAGATCTGGAATTTAAACCAACTTTGACGGAAAAGATCTGTTTTAATACACTGCCTGATAGGTGTAAGAATTATGTGTTTTTAAAAAAGAGACTCTTGTAGGTGGAATTATTGGGGAAATATTCATGAAAATGAGTGGTATACATGCATGTGTATATGCATATGTGTGTATATTTATCGTAGACTGTGAATTCCCTGAGAAGATTTTTCAGTTGTTGTTTTATTAAGTTACTTATATATGATATAGTTTTTACTGTAGACAGTCATTTCTTACAAAAGGGGTGAACATTAACCCTGGAAGTATGGAGATCCATTACAAAGAAAGCAGTGACCATCTGGTTCTTATGGTATGATACAGAAGGTACAGAATTGATTTCACTGAAAACCAAGAAAAAAAAAATCTAAGCTATCATCTTAGAAAATAGAATATGGAACTACTTATGCATCAGATGACTAGATAAATGATTAAAAATAGATTGATGGGATAATTTACCTAGGTGTATAAAATGAGGAATAACTCATTCGTTTCTGGGATAAAAACAAAGTGGCACATTTCATTTTCTGTAACATTAAATCTCTTTAAATTCCTGATTACATTCTCTGAATAATAGTTTGTTTTTTGGTTTTTTTCTACAGTTGGACAGTGTCACCTCCCTGATCCAAGCAGCCAAAAATTTAATGAATGCTGTAGTGCAAACAGTGAAAATGTCTTACATTGCCTCAACCAAGATCATCCGAATTCAGAGTCCTGCTGGGCCCCGGCACCCAGTTGTTATGTGGAGAATGAAGGCTCCTGCAAAAAAACCCTTGATTAAAAGAGAGAAACCAGAGGAAACTTATGCAGCTGTCAGACGAGGCTCAGCAAAGAAAAAAATCCACCCAGTGCAAGTGATGAGTGAATTTAGAGGAAGACATATCTACTGAAACCACTATTCTACTCTAGTGTTTATATGACAAAGTCCTGGCTAAACACACTGCTTTATTTTTACACTTGATTAGTTCCGTAAGTTCACTAACTTAGAATTTAACCCACAAATAATGTAAAACACTGAAAGCCTAACCAACATGAGCAACGTATATTGGGGATCATGCCATTGTCATTTCTGCATGGCCAGCACCTAATAAGGAATCAACAGATGCTTGTTGAATGAATGAAATCTTCAGGGTCATTCAGCCTCTCCCATCACGGAGAATATCTTATATTCATTACTAAATGAACACAGGAGACTCAAATGAGTCCTGTTCACCTGTAACAGCTTAAGTATACTCACCCTCTTCATTTTAAATTAAAATAGTGATGTGAGCTCTTGACTTGGTTTTCAACGGAAACAAAAGATTTCATAAAATACTCTCCCATTTAATCTCCATACTTCCTTTATCTGATGTAACCTGACAGACATGTGTGATTCCTTCTACAGGAAAAAAAAAAAAATCACTCTCTAGATATTTGTAACAGTTGTTGTCAACTGATTGGGCTAATATCCATCAGAAACTAACCAAGCTTGAGCAATCAAGTTACTTTCTGGATTTTCAAGGTCCGCCTTAATTATTTATGAAACAATTTATTAACATTATAAAGTTTACAATGAGTCTTCATGCCACAAGTGTGCATTTCAGGACTCCACTGTGTTCAGCTGTTCTGCACGTTGAGTTCTGGATTTAAAAAGGCCCACCAGAACACTACATATATGGAGGAAGAGTTATCATCCGTTGGGGAAATGGGCATTTAACTCTATCCCCAAGCGAGTTATGACTGATAACAGAAATGCAAGGAGTTCTGCATGACTCCGTTTGTATCACCTTGCAAGTGTAATTAGAAGGAAAAGGCCAGTTTGAAAAATATTTTGTCATTGAGTAAAATATAACTCAAAAAATGTGTGTGGTACCGCTGAACTCTGAAGTAGAGTTAGTGGCGATGAAGCTGGAGTGATTTTAATAACTTTTTAAAATAAAAGTCTGAGGTCATTTTATAACTGCAATCAATGTGCTGATGCCGAATTGAGTTCATAATGCACTTTATAATAGTTTCAGGGTCTAGCGCGTTGCTTCTCTCTTTCTACTTCTTTCTGTCGGTCTGTCTCTGGAGGAGCTAAGTTTCAGTTTTACCTTTTCTCATGCATAGAGTTCCCATTCACAGGATTTTAAACATGAATTTCCTATTCTACTTTATCAAAATTATACCCACATCATAACTTCACTTTGTAAAACATTTCCATCAATGAACTGTTTCAACAGCCATGTCATCTTAGTTTGACTAGGTAAAGTTTAAACATGCAACATCAGCTGATGTCAGGAGGGCCAGTTTGGGTAAAAGAATGTGTGAAACATAAGAAGGCATAAAGGTTGAGAGCATGATGTGTGTGGTATGTTGAACAAAATGGTATGGGAAATGTTGAACAAAATGGTATGGGAAAGGGATTTAATCGGTCAATATGTTAATAAATTATAGGGAAAATGTAAACTTTTTTCACTGTAATATGTTATATTGTTCTTCCAAAATGCTAGGTTACCTGGGCTAAGTATTGATACATACACTTTCTAAGAGTGAAAGCAATATGCTCCTGCCTCTCTTGCAGTGTACACTGGCCCACGGTCAATATTATTCTGGACAGAGTCCACTCCCTCAAAGAAAAGGCAGTGCAGAAAGGAATTAGAGAATCCAGATAATTATATTGTCCAGGACTAGCTAGCTAACTGAGGCAAAACAGGGAATTTCTTTTGTTGACATGCTACCATCATTTTCTGTTCTAAGATAGACATTACAAGAGTTACATCTATGACACTTCCTTTTGTCAGGTAGAAGTATGAATTTACAATTTAGTTGAGAAAATAATTTCTTAAAAAAAAATTACCAAACTACTAGTATATCTTAGTTCCTAAAGCCACATGCTCAAGAATCATAAGAGTCTCATTTACAAAATCTAATGTCTGTTTAATTCTACATCAGCTTTCCACAGGCTAGAGTTTAGAATGCAGCGCTGGATGCCAAAAGAACATAACTAATTTGAAATTATACACTTATCAAATAACCTCTGTATCTATCTTAAGAAAATGACTCTTTAAAAATGAGATGTGAACAGGTCCTCCTCTTCAAAGTAGAGGGATTTCCAGCTTAGCTCAAAGCAAACTATAATTAAGCAAAACTTAATTTAAAAAAAAAAACATTAACTTGGAGAATGTCCCAGGAGTAAAGTCTGGTGCAATAATCAAAGGTGCAATAAGAACAAGATGTACAGAGCTGAGAAGGACATCTGTCCACCTGACTCAATTCCTTCAGTGGGCAGCATTTCAGGATTTAATTCAATTCAAACCCGCTAATAGTATAATACTTAGAAGAAAAATTAGCAGCAAATATATTAACAAATCCTCCCATTATAAAACATAGTTAAATGAATCTAATCAGTAAGTATGAAGGTGGTGTATATATTTATAACTAAGCCCTTCTTCTGGCAGGGGAATGACAGAAATTTCTTAATGAGAGTGATTGCTTGGTGGCCCATCTATGCATCTTTTGAAATTGCATCACAGAGATTGGTGCTTCTTCTAATGATACTTTTGCTTTATCTTGCTAATCAAAACTCACCTTTCTCTTTTAGTGAAATTGAGTTATGTTAATTTATGAAGGAAAAATCATCTTTGGGAGGGAGAAGAGGGTTTATATCACCTTTGAAGGACAGCAGTTCCGTCCTGGTTAGCCACCAGCATCACTGGCAAACATTAGACTGAAATCAGAATGGTAAGTTAGAAAATATCTGTGAATCCACTCAAGATTTTTTAGTTAGAAAAACTGGAAGGTTTCCATTAAATAGGAAAGGTGATAAATATAAATCTTTCCCTTTTACTTATCACAAGTGGAAATTAATGGCTTAAAATATTTCCTTCTTTCTAATGGACTGAATGAGTCTGGAAAAAAATTCAAACACTAAACTTCTAAAGAAATTTGTTAATTATTCCCTTTCTGCTTGTCTTATGACATGAACGAAAACTGTGAATGTATTAGAAAATACAATATTCTTAAAATTGCCTTCTGGTCTTTGCAAATCTCTAAATTTATCAGTATTAAGATAACATATACGTTCCCCATAAAATTCCTTCTGGATGAGGGGTAAGTACCTCCACAACTCTATAGAAAGGCCCGCGTCGTCAGGCTGACATCCTTGCACACTTAACATCTTCAGAGAGGTCAGTTTTCAAGTCACAGTAAAGCAAGATATCTAAAATTGTGAGCACACCGTTAAGTGCCCAATCTGGGCCTCAAACCTAATAATTAGTGCTCCTCAAATTTAATGAGTGGCTGAAAAGACTAATGTCTGACAACAGAGAAAGTATTTCCAGTGACTTCCTACACCTTCACATTCAGGGTGGTCTTTTCATCTCACCATCCCTGAGCTCCGTATCTTCCTATAAACTGCTGACAGTTTGCTACCAGAATGATGCAGCAGACCTGCTCATCCCAATCAGTTACCCCCAAATAATGCCCTTCCCTCTTAGTCCAAAATCTCTCTTGCTCATCTCTCATCCCCTTAGGAGACCATCCCACATATCAATTGATTAATACATTCTGTAGCATTCTAGTTAAAAGTATTAATTTTAATTCCCAATGCCATTATCTTTTTTCTTTTTTTTTCTATTCCAGAAAACATTCTTATCTTTTTCGGTGTCAAATGAACACTTCCATGCTAGGCACTGTGGTTCCCATGGATACATATTTCTGTACAGTGGCAGAATGAGTAGAGTGAGATCGAGACTTTTCCTGGTGATATTTACCTTTCTCTAGTGAAGTCCTTGCAGAGCTGCCAGCCTGTTTCACCTTCATTGTAACTAATTCTCTAGGTTAGCAAAGCAAGCGCCAGAATATCAAGTTGAGTAAAATCTGTACTTTTGTCTGCCTGCCTTTTGTTAAGACAGGCTGCTTATTGCATATTTAGGTATCAAACAGCCATTTTTCTTTTTGGAAAGTCTAGGTTAGCAAAGCAAGCGCCAGAATATCAAGTTGAGTAAAATCTGTACTTTTGTCTGCCTGCCTTTTGTTAAGACAGGCTGCTTATTGCATATTTAGGTATCAAACAGCCATTTTTCTTTTTGGAAAGTCAGAAATACTTCTGTTTGACTGCATCAGAAAATTTAGGGGCATCCAGTTAAAAGACTGTAACTTCCATATTATTTTAATAATTCTTTTTAAGTCAACTAGAAAAAGGTCTGCAACCTTAAAAATTTATATTTATTTATCATTTTCATGTATATGTCACATACCAGAAAACAACACTTAATCGGACAAAAACCCTATAGCATTTTTTGTCATAACTCTCTTTCCCTATCATTATAATATCTTTAATATTAGTAAATATTTTGCATGTTACTGCCAAATAGACAAGCCAGGCCTAATGACAGAAGAGTCTACACACAAAGTAGTTTAAAGTTTTCATTTTGGTTCTTTGGGTCTATTAGGATAGAAAAATGTGGATGTTACTAAAACCAGGTGTATGCAACTAAAGAGGCAATCAAGGTTTTAACACTATCCTAGACATCTGAAAGAGAGAAGGATTAAAATTTTTAATGCATTCTTTTGCCATTTTAACTAATTTACATGAACAAGAAACATTTTCTATTAAAGCAAAAGAAAGAATAATTTCCTATATTAACCATTTTACATGTGAATTTTCTTCCCCTACCAAGATAGACAGGACTTATTCCTGAACACTTCAAAAGAAGATTATACTAACTGAGCGAACCGCTTCCAAATGGAACCCAACCTTACCAGAATCCCACCTACAGACAATAGATGGTTTGTAGGGCTGGCCTTTATGTAGATCCTGGGATGAGATGTTTCATGGCTGCAGGCTGGCTTCTAGAATCCAACAGTCCCCACTGGTTTAGGAGAACAAAACCCAAGGAATGAACTTCAAAATGAATTTAACGAGTTGGAGGGGGAAAAAAGCAGTAAATACAGAGCAGTTCTAAAAGAAAGTGGGTAAGAAAGTGACAGAGGTAGAGGAGGGAATAAGAAAGGTAGTTGCAGAAGCAGGTAACTTTTACACCAGAGGGAGGAAGAGTTTTGAGTTCTATGACGATTAGGCAGCCTTCTCCTGAGGAAGATTTTAAGGATAGGATAGGGCACTTATCTTTGGCAGTTTGGGTGAAGTCGTGTCAGGGCAGAGGACAAACTATATAACTTTTGAGGATCATTTAGTGATATTGTTTGCAAGATGAGAAATTGAAATTCAGCCAATTTTTTAGCATGTTGGTGGGTGAAATTCTCCCCAGTATCAGAGTTAATCAGGATATTATATATTTAACAAATATCTTTTGAGCAACTTTGATGTTCCAGGCACTGCTCCAGGTTCTTAGGATATACCAGATAACAAAACAAACAGTGATTCTTGCCCTTATGGGCAGACTCTGTGTTGAATGCTATTACCTTATTTAATTTTTTCAATAACCCTAGGAGATAAACATTATCAGCTCTATTCCTTAGGAAAAGAAACTAAGGAGACGGATCTTGCTTGAAAACTCACTGGCCTTAAAATTTGGTTGCACTCTAGAGTCTGAACTTTTAGCCACCACACCATCCAGATTTCCTGGAAAATGGGATTGGATTTTTTAGTTGAAAATGAGATGCACATTTCAAATGCTGGCTGGCTTCCTAAGTAAGAGCAAAAGGATCAAAACTTAAATATATATGGTATATAAATCCATGCCTACATCACTCAAAGCAAATAAAAAGCAGGTACATAAGTAATTAGCTGAACGTTATAACCTCTAATAATTGAATAAAAATATCAGATATATGAGGAGTGAATATTTCATCTACGTGATCTGAAGTCAGATGAAAACACCAAATTACTTTCACTTCCACAGAGGTGAAATCTTCCATGGAGATGCCTGTTTAAAATCCATCTTTAGCATTGACTGGTGAAAACAATTTGTTGACACCATTTCTTTCCTTCTTTACTGCTAATGTGTGTTTAAAATTATATATCCCAGGGAGGATGGGCCAAGGATTATTGAAATAAGCTAAAGTTTCTTTGTATTCCACACTGACTGAACCATAGGAAATGTATGTTTCCTTCTTTATAGAGGTAACAATGTATACAGTATGTGTCTGACTGTAAGCAAATTTAGTCCTTTAACTTTACATGGTGCTTCTTCCTAGAGACAACTGAAGTCTAGACTCTCCCTCTTGCCCATGTTGCTGGATAGACCTCCCTATCTCAGGCCTGGGGTAGTTAAATGACTTCCTAATCTTTCTTAAAGTAGGGCCAGAAATGTTTCCTTAAACTGGGAATGTATTTATTTGGGGGTCTTCAATTTTGGGTACCTGGCAGTCATGATGGTGCCTGCTGCCAACTGTCGTAAAAGGAAGCTCTGGAGGGAAACTCTTTCTGAAAGAGGCTCAGATTTCTAACAACCATCTCTAAAAATCTCTTCAATGTAGGATATATACAACAGCCACTTAAATGGTATTAGCAGAATACTAATTCTACTTATGTCCTGTGTTTTCATTCCAAATGAGGTATTTTTTAGTTATAAAGTTTTCTTTCCTTTGCATTTTCAAGAAGAATGCTTATTTTTTGTTCTGGGTATTTGGTCTTAAAGATACGTAGCATCTCTAAACATCTTAAAGCCCCCTTTCAATAATTATATCAATAGTTCAAAGCCGGCAGATTACTTTTTCTATTCAGACAACCATGTATTATGTAGTCCCAGGCCAGCCCTCAACATGTCCATCAGTTTCCCATCTTTATGAATTATCTGAACCTCTCTGTGATATTCAGTGATAGTCTAGCTAAGACTGACAAGTCTGGGCTTCTAACATCAAATCTGGATTGGAGTGTTTATTCATAAGGCAAAGGGGCAAGTCTGAGAGGTTAGTTCACACTCTCAGTTACACAGAACTTTTCTTCTTCCTTAAGCTTTAAACATAAAATTAATTTTGAAAATACTGTAGAGATAGTATTCCATTGCTTGCTGAATCTTATACCATTATAACTCTATTTTTATGTGCTGGTATACAATGAGATATAAATATGAGAATTTCAGCAACTGTCTTGCAGGGTTAAGCTGTGCTTCTGACTGATTTTGAAAATTGTCCTTGTGTGGTAAAATTCCTCCAAAGAAAATTTCATTGGCCCTGAATGACAGCATAATAATTTTTCTTTGATATCCATGACTAACAACTCCCTGAAAACAGAAGTAGACATATGTTATGCCCAATTTAGTACCTAATAGTTGGGACTTTAAAAAACAAAACAAAATTTTCTTGAGCAAGTTTTTGGGTGATTAAATATGAATTAAAACTTCCAGTGAAAGATTTCCAGATGCCCCTGCTTTCCATTTTGATTATGTTTTAGTTCCATACTGACTTGGCAAAAAAAAAAAAAAAATGCACTTACTTTACCTTATGTACTTTTACAGGCAACAACTTTGACATTTTAAACTTAGTGACATTTCTGAAGGTAGCATGCACATTGTAAATCAGGATGAAGGGAGATTTAAGCTGACAGCCTGAGATTAAATAAAAGCAAGCAGTTGATAATAGTCATGTTTATTGCAGCAATATCTTGAGAACTTAAGTTTAGTGGCATTTGAGGTGTTTCAAACTATCAGTACCTTGGCTTCTACACCTCACCCTGCTGTGCAGAAGGCAGAATGGGGCTGAGTGAAGCATCCACTCAATAACTGCCAATTCAAAGTAGGTTTATGGTTTGGCCATAGATAAACTTTGGCAAAAGCACTTGTAGAGCTTTCTGGTCATTATTTATCCTTAAAGTCAATTTCACCAATCAATAAAAATGAATTATTTATCCAGGAATAGATAAAGCTCTTTAATACCGTCACGACATTGACATAGAAGGTCAGATATTCCTTGTTTGGGATTCTGCATTCCTTTTGTGCTTAACTGAATCAAATTTTTTTTTTATTGTGTTCTCAATTTTTTCACGCATGTAACACTGGGTTTGTTTTGAAATTATGCAGTATTATTTGAAACAATATTTATTTCAACCCATGTCACTGTAGTTTGTTAATAATTTGCTCAACTGATAATTAAACTATGTATGTTAAAGCAATAAAACTGCAAGAGCTGTTTATGCATTTGGCGTTTATCTTTGGTGGTATGTGTCTTGAGTGGGAACAAAAAAGGGAAGGGAATGAATTGCTGAGTAGTCTAACCACTGGTCTAGGTATTACCTTCATTCCTTCTCTGTTTCACTTATATGTACTACAATTTGGGAGGGTACTTTCACAAACTACCGTATGAACACAAGTAACATAGACCATATGGGATAGAATTCAATTTTCAGTTTAAATGGCATTTTTTTGTTCAATATGGACATTAAGTTTTTTAAATAATGTCTGTGTAGTTAAAGAACTGTTCTCTAGCTTAAGACTTTATGAAAAGAACCAATAATTTTTCTAAGACTGAACACATACTACAGGGTGGGCACGGAATACCATTGGCTCTACTGATGTTTCTGCTTCTGATCCTCAAGTTTACAGAGACAGTAACTAGTGTCAAGGACAGGATTTGAAAACTCCTAATTCTCTGTGTTACTCTTCCAAAACCATCACTGCCGCCTTAGGTAAATGAAAGTCACTGATGAGGAAAAGCCATGGGCTGTTTCTCACTCATTTGTTTATTCAACAGTCAAAAATATTTCTTGAGGGACTGTTATATGCAAAGGTGCTATGGGTGACAGAAAGAAGCATGAATGTTTTGGAATCAAGACATGGACTCATCAAGTTAATTAAAGTAAATAGCAGAGGAAGGGAAATAAAAACGCAGCTCGTGGCAATCTCACCCAGGGTACAAGAAAGCAATGCAAGTTTCAGGACTCAAGGGGGACTTTATAGAAGTTTTAATAGGAGCGTAGAGTTCAGCAGGATGAAGGAAGATAACATTCCAGAAGGATGGACATGACCCAAGTCAAAAACACAGGAATGAGAACGTCACACATGGGGGTCAACTGGCTGAAGCAAAGAGTTCTAGATGACCCCATTGGGATAGGAGCTCAGAAAGACATGAATGGGTTAAATCACACAGGATCTCAATGTCAGGCAAAGGTGCTAAAGCTTCAATCTGTAAATGGGGACAATACTCATATCTCCTAGCAAACAAGTTCTCTAATACAAGCAGAGTTATAAGATGACTAGTTAGACAGTGAAATGCAGGATTGGTATTCAGAGTAAGGAAAGTGAATAGGAAACATCAGTTGCAATAATCCTGTGTGATATAAACAAGTGCCTGGGTGAAATGATAGCATTAGGAATTAAAAGAGTATTTTCAAAATAAACTATAAAGCATCCAACATAAACGATCACAGGTTTTAAGTTCTATCTAAAACATGGATACATTTTGCATTCTATTTAATACACCCCTGTTTATTTTAATAAAGTATATTTTACTATAAAGGCAATTTAACATTTTCCTGTCAAATAGTGATAGTCAAGTAGGTGGCACCGTGTTTATCCTGTGACTTCACGTGGCCTCTGAGATCCTCTGGGATGGCTGTATCTGATTTAAGAAATGCAGAAACAGCCCAGATGTGTGACTCTTTGTGTGGCAAGATGGCCCCATGGTGAAAAGCATGGCCTCTGGCATTGCCTTACCCCCTCTTCACCATGGCTCCATCATTTTTAGCACCAGCTTTTCTTGGGCAAGTTGCTGAATCTTTCATTATCCTGAAATTCTCGTTTGTAAGAGAGAGATGACGTTTCAGAGTTCGACTGACAAAACAATGATGTGTTTTACAATCAACGTCCCTCATATTCAATGAAATGAGATAGAACCTACCACACAGGATGGTTATGAGTACTGAATGAATGAATGTAAGTAAAGTACTTTTGAAGGATGCCTGGCACAAGGTAAACACAATATAAAATTTAACCATTATTATTATGTATACAATTTATAAGCTTCAAGATTAAACACACACAGAACAGACTTCTGAGAGCTTTATAGGAGGGCCAGGGAGAAAGAAAAGCCTGGAGCAGGAGAGCATAGCACGCCAGGGAATGGCCGAGAGTAGCTGACATATTCATCCAGCCAACAGGTACGTATACCCGTGGGCTGGATATTTTTCTAGGTGCTGGGGATGACTAGGTACTGGTCAGTAAAAACAATCTTCCTTCATCAAGGATTTAAAGATGAGCAGAGACACTAGGAGTTAATTAAATAACGGGTCCAACAGTGTAAAACTGTATCTTTGACAATGGCCACAGAAGAGACACACAGGTGCCATGAAGCTAAAATGAAGGGCTTTTGGCAGAATTAGGACAATCGGGAAAGGCTGGTCTGAGGAAGTGAGCCTTAAGCTGAAATCAAAGGAATAAGTAGAGTTTCAGCAGGTGAAGTGGGATGGGAAGAGTGCTGAAAACAGAGTTAACAGTAGGTGCAAAGCTCCTGTCTGTGGGCCGGGGCCCCTGCGCACAGCGTGTGAAAGCAGGCTAGTGGAGAACGTGCAGGTTGGTTTGGGAGGACAGGAAGTCAGAGATGCAGCCAGGGTCCAGGTGGAAATGGTGGGGGAGACAATGAAGGGCCAAGACAAATCCTGCCCTCAGGATTCCCCAAAAGGCCAGCAAGGCAAGAGCCCGGCTCCGTGGCTGCGCTCCTCAAGGAAGCTCAGCCATCTCTCAGAGCCCCTGTTCTAGCCCCAGGCCGCTGGCCCTCATGCCAACTTGACATAGGAGGGAGGGAGAGTATGTATGACCCTAGGCTGCATTCTTACAAATGGACAAAGTACATGGGCTTCGATTTCTTTCATCCATTTTACTGAATATGACGGAAATACTTCAAACCAAATAGAAGGCACAACTCCTCAACTACAAATTTTCTGTGTGAGTTACAGCCTCCGCTCTGGACCCCTTCCTCTGCTCAGGGCTCTGTCCTGTCTAAACCATCTCCCCATCTCACCCCTGCACAAAGGCTCTTCCTCTCGCAGGTGGCTTAGAAATGGGATTTCCAGTCCCTCTGTGAAACTCACACATTACGGGAGGAATTCGAGGTCGAGTTATTCATCCTTAGGAAGAATTTACAATGGGAGGTCCAAAAGGGAATGGCTCCTTTGTCATTTATTATGAGGTATTTTAGAGGAAAAGAGACGAGAGAGAGGGAGGAAGAGGAGGAGAAGATGCAGGAAATTTGTAATTAAATATATATACATAATAAGCTCCATTTATATACATATAATCCTTCTATATATAACGTCCTTCATATACGTAAAACATCATTTCTATATGCATAGATATTAAAATCTCCATTAGTTCATATATAGATACATATACATATATATATATATATATACACACACACCCATCTGTATATGTATGATCTCCATTGATTACTAAAGTGAAGATATCAAATAACTCATAGATATCTGGTTAGTACCTGGTTAGAGGGTCTATCCTGGATGGGCTTTCACTGGAGTAGACAGGAGGACGATCAGATGAGACAGATGCTTTCCCCACAGGGACTCTGAGGAAGGGCTGTACAATGGTTAGAAGTGAGAACTCTGAGTGTGACAACCCAAGTTTGAATTATTTAATACCTCTATACCTATGTTACCTCATCTGTAAATTGGGTACTTATTGCTTAGATTTGTAAAAGAATTAAATAATATATATAAAAGCACTTAAAACAATGCTTTATATATAGAAAGCTGTATACATCCATTAACGTTTCCCATTATTTTTTTAATTAATTTTTATAGGAGTATGGTGTTGTGTTAGCCTCCACTGCACAGCAAAATGAATCAGCTATACACATACAGATATCCCCTCCCTTTTGGACTTCCCTCCCATTTAGGTTACCATAGTGCACTAGGTGAATTCCCTGTGCTATACAGCATGTTCCCATCAGTTGTCCATTTCATACACAATATCAATAATGTATATGTGTCAACCCCAGTCTCCCAATTCCTCCTACCCCACCCCTTTCTCCCTTGGTACCCACACATTTGTTCTCTACATCTGTGTCTCTATTTCTGCTTTGCAACTAAGATCATCTATACCATTTTTCTAGATTCCACACATATGCATTATTATGACATTTGCTTTTCTCTTTCTGACTTACTTCACTCTGTATGACAGTCTCTAGGTCCATCCACCTCTCTACATATGACCCTATTTCATTCCTTTTTACATCTGAATAATATTCCATTGTATATATATACCACATCTTCTTTACCCGTTCCTCTGTCGATGAACATTTAGGTTGCTTCCATGTCCTGGCTATTGTAAACAGTGCTGCTATGAACATTGGGGTGTGTGTGTTTTTTTGAATTATGGTTTTCTCTGGGTATATGCCCAGTAGTGGGATTGCTGGGTCATATGGTAGTTCTATTTTTAGTTTTTTAAGGAACCTCCATACTGTTTTCAACAGTGGCAGTATCAATTTACATTCCCACCAACAGTGCAAGAGGATTCCCTTTTCTCCACACCCTCTCCAGCATTTATTGTTTGTAGTTTTTTGTTTTGTTTTTTTTTGCGGTACGCGGGCCTCTCACTGTTGTGGCCTCTCCCATTGCGGAGCACGGGCTCCGGACACGCAGGCTCAGCAGCCATGGCTCACGGGCCTAGCCGCTCCGCGGCATGTGGGATCTCCCGGACTGGGGCACGAACCCGTGTCCCCTGCATCGGCAGGCGGATCTAGGTTAGCAAAGCAAGCGCCAGAATATCAAGTTGAGTAAAATCTGTACTTTTGTCTGCCTGCCTTTTGTTAAGACAGGCTGCTTATTGCATATTTAGGTATCAAACAGCCATTTTTCTTTTTGGAAAGTCTAGGTTAGCAAAGCAAGCGCCAGAATATCAAGTTGAGTAAAATCTGTACTTTTGTCTGCCTGCCTTTTGTTAAGACAGGCTGCTTATTGCATATTTAGGTATCAAACAGCCATTTTTCTTTTTGGAAAGTCAGAAATACTTCTGTTTGACTGCATCAGAAAATTTAGGGGCATCCAGTTAAAAGACTGTAACTTCCATATTATTTTAATAATTCTTTTTAAGTCAACTAGAAAAAGGTCTGCAACCTTAAAAATTTATATTTATTTATCATTTTCATGTATATGTCACATACCAGAAAACAACACTTAATCGGACAAAAACCCTATAGCATTTTTTGTCATAACTCTCTTTCCCTATCATTATAATATCTTTAATATTAGTAAATATTTTGCATGTTACTGCCAAATAGACAAGCCAGGCCTAATGACAGAAGAGTCTACACACAAAGTAGTTTAAAGTTTTCATTTTGGTTCTTTGGGTCTATTAGGATAGAAAAATGTGGATGTTACTAAAACCAGGTGTATGCAACTAAAGAGGCAATCAAGGTTTTAACACTATCCTAGACATCTGAAAGAGAGAAGGATTAAAATTTTTAATGCATTCTTTTGCCATTTTAACTAATTTACATGAACAAGAAACATTTTCTATTAAAGCAAAAGAAAGAATAATTTCCTATATTAACCATTTTACATGTGAATTTTCTTCCCCTACCAAGATAGACAGGACTTATTCCTGAACACTTCAAAAGAAGATTATACTAACTGAGCGAACCGCTTCCAAATGGAACCCAACCTTACCAGAATCCCACCTACAGACAATAGATGGTTTGTAGGGCTGGCCTTTATGTAGATCCTGGGATGAGATGTTTCATGGCTGCAGGCTGGCTTCTAGAATCCAACAGTCCCCACTGGTTTAGGAGAACAAAACCCAAGGAATGAACTTCAAAATGAATTTAACGAGTTGGAGGGGGAAAAAAGCAGTAAATACAGAGCAGTTCTAAAAGAAAGTGGGTAAGAAAGTGACAGAGGTAGAGGAGGGAATAAGAAAGGTAGTTGCAGAAGCAGGTAACTTTTACACCAGAGGGAGGAAGAGTTTTGAGTTCTATGACGATTAGGCAGCCTTCTCCTGAGGAAGATTTTAAGGATAGGATAGGGCACTTATCTTTGGCAGTTTGGGTGAAGTCGTGTCAGGGCAGAGGACAAACTATATAACTTTTGAGGATCATTTAGTGATATTGTTTGCAAGATGAGAAATTGAAATTCAGCCAATTTTTTAGCATGTTGGTGGGTGAAATTCTCCCCAGTATCAGAGTTAATCAGGATATTATATATTTAACAAATATCTTTTGAGCAACTTTGATGTTCCAGGCACTGCTCCAGGTTCTTAGGATATACCAGATAACAAAACAAACAGTGATTCTTGCCCTTATGGGCAGACTCTGTGTTGAATGCTATTACCTTATTTAATTTTTTCAATAACCCTAGGAGATAAACATTATCAGCTCTATTCCTTAGGAAAAGAAACTAAGGAGACGGATCTTGCTTGAAAACTCACTGGCCTTAAAATTTGGTTGCACTCTAGAGTCTGAACTTTTAGCCACCACACCATCCAGATTTCCTGGAAAATGGGATTGGATTTTTTAGTTGAAAATGAGATGCACATTTCAAATGCTGGCTGGCTTCCTAAGTAAGAGCAAAAGGATCAAAACTTAAATATATATGGTATATAAATCCATGCCTACATCACTCAAAGCAAATAAAAAGCAGGTACATAAGTAATTAGCTGAACGTTATAACCTCTAATAATTGAATAAAAATATCAGATATATGAGGAGTGAATATTTCATCTACGTGATCTGAAGTCAGATGAAAACACCAAATTACTTTCACTTCCACAGAGGTGAAATCTTCCATGGAGATGCCTGTTTAAAATCCATCTTTAGCATTGACTGGTGAAAACAATTTGTTGACACCATTTCTTTCCTTCTTTACTGCTAATGTGTGTTTAAAATTATATATCCCAGGGAGGATGGGCCAAGGATTACTGAAATAAGCTAAAGTTTCTTTGTATTCCACACTGACTGAACCATAGGAAATGTATGTTTCCTTCTTTATAGAGGTAACAATGTATACAGTATGTGTCTGACTGTAAGCAAATTTAGTCCTTTAACTTTACATGGTGCTTCTTCCTAGAGACAACTGAAGTCTAGACTCTCCCTCTTGCCCATGTTGCTGGATAGACCTCCCTATCTCAGGCCTGGGGTAGTTAAATGACTTCCTAATCTTTCTTAAAGTAGGGCCAGAAATGTTTCCTTAAACTGGGAATGTATTTATTTGGGGGTCTTCAATTTTGGGTACCTGGCAGTCATGATGGTGCCTGCTGCCAACTGTCGTAAAAGGAAGCTCTGGAGGGAAACTCTTTCTGAAAGAGGCTCAGATTTCTAACAACCATCTCTAAAAATCTCTTCAATGTAGGATATATAAAACAGCCACTTAAATGGTATTAGCAGAATACTAATTCTACTTATGTCCTGTGTTTTCATTCCAAATGAGGTATTTTTTAGTTATAAAGTTTTCTTTCCTTTGCATTTTCAAGAAGAATGCTTATTTTTTGTTCTGGGTATTTGGTCTTAAAGATACGTAGCATCTCTAAACATCTTAAAGCCCCCTTTCAATAATTATATCAATAGTTCAAAGCCGGCAGATTACTTTTTCTATTCAGACAACCATGTATTATGTAGTCCCAGGCCAGCCCTCAACATGTCCATCAGTTTCCCATCTTTATGAATTATCTGAACCTCTCTGTGATATTCAGTGATAGTCTAGCTAAGACTGACAAGTCTGGGCTTCTAACATCAAATCTGGATTGGAGTGTTTATTCATAAGGCAAAGGGGCAAGTCTGAGAGGTTAGTTCACACTCTCAGTTACACAGAACTTTTCTTCTTCCTTAAGCTTTAAACATAAAATTAATTTTGAAAATACTGTAGAGATAGTATTCCATTGCTTGCTGAATCTTATACCATTATAACTCTATTTTTATGTGCTGGTATACAATGAGATATAAATATGAGAATTTCAGCAACTGTCTTGCAGGGTTAAGCTGTGCTTCTGACTGATTTTGAAAATTGTCCTTGTGTGGTAAAATTCCTCCAAAGAAAATTTCATTGGCCCTGAATGACAGCATAATAATTTTTCTTTGATATCCATGACTAACAACTCCCTGAAAACAGAAGTAGACATATGTTATGCCCAATTTAGTACCTAATAGTTGGGACTTTAAAAAACAAAACAAAATTTTCTTGAGCAAGTTTTTGGGTGATTAAATATGAATTAAAACTTCCAGTGAAAGATTTCCAGATGCCCCTGCTTTCCATTTTGATTATGTTTTAGTTCCATACTGACTTGGCAAAAAAAAAAAAAAAATGCACTTACTTTACCTTATGTACTTTTACAGGCAACAACTTTGACATTTTAAACTTAGTGACATTTCTGAAGGTAGCATGCACATTGTAAATCAGGATGAAGGGAGATTTAAGCTGACAGCCTGAGATTAAATAAAAGCAAGCAGTTGATAATAGTCATGTTTATTGCAGCAATATCTTGAGAACTTAAGTTTAGTGGCATTTGAGGTGTTTCAAACTATCAGTACCTTGGCTTCTACACCTCACCCTGCTGTGCAGAAGGCAGAATGGGGCTGAGTGAAGCATCCACTCAATAACTGCCAATTCAAAGTAGGTTTATGGTTTGGCCATAGATAAACTTTGGCAAAAGCACTTGTAGAGCTTTCTGGTCATTATTTATCCTTAAAGTCAATTTCACCAATCAATAAAAATGAATTATTTATCCAGGAATAGATAAAGCTCTTTAATACCGTCACGACATTGACATAGAAGGTCAGATATTCCTTGTTTGGGATTCTGCATTCCTTTTGTGCTTAACTGAATCAAATTTTTTTTTTATTGTGTTCTCAATTTTTTCACGCATGTAACACTGGGTTTGTTTTGAAATTATGCAGTATTATTTGAAACAATATTTATTTCAACCCATGTCACTGTAGTTTGTTAATAATTTGCTCAACTGATAATTAAACTATGTATGTTAAAGCAATAAAACTGCAAGAGCTGTTTATGCATTTGGCGTTTATCTTTGGTGGTATGTGTCTTGAGTGGGAACAAAAAAGGGAAGGGAATGAATTGCTGAGTAGTCTAACCACTGGTCTAGGTATTACCTTCATTCCTTCTCTGTTTCACTTATATGTACTACAATTTGGGAGGGTACTTTCACAAACTACCGTATGAACACAAGTAACATAGACCATATGGGATAGAATTCAATTTTCAGTTTAAATGGCATTTTTTTGTTCAATATGGACATTAAGTTTTTTAAATAATGTCTGTGTAGTTAAAGAACTGTTCTCTAGCTTAAGACTTTATGAAAAGAACCAATAATTTTTCTAAGACTGAACACATACTACAGGGTGGGCACGGAATACCATTGGCTCTACTGATGTTTCTGCTTCTGATCCTCAAGTTTACAGAGACAGTAACTAGTGTCAAGGACAGGATTTGAAAACTCCTAATTCTCTGTGTTACTCTTCCAAAACCATCACTGCCGCCTTAGGTAAATGAAAGTCACTGATGAGGAAAAGCCATGGGCTGTTTCTCACTCATTTGTTTATTCAACAGTCAAAAATATTTCTTGAGGGACTGTTATATGCAAAGGTGCTATGGGTGACAGAAAGAAGCATGAATGTTTTGGAATCAAGACATGGACTCATCAAGTTAATTAAAGTAAATAGCAGAGGAAGGGAAATAAAAACGCAGCTCGTGGCAATCTCACCCAGGGTACAAGAAAGCAATGCAAGTTTCAGGACTCAAGGGGGACTTTATAGAAGTTTTAATAGGAGCGTAGAGTTCAGCAGGATGAAGGAAGATAACATTCCAGAAGGATGGACATGACCCAAGTCAAAAACACAGGAATGAGAACGTCACACATGGGGGTCAACTGGCTGAAGCAAAGAGTTCTAGATGACCCCATTGGGATAGGAGCTCAGAAAGACATGAATGGGTTAAATCACACAGGATCTCAATGTCAGGCAAAGGTGCTAAAGCTTCAATCTGTAAATGGGGACAATACTCATATCTCCTAGCAAACAAGTTCTCTAATACAAGCAGAGTTATAAGATGACTAGTTAGACAGTGAAATGCAGGATTGGTATTCAGAGTAAGGAAAGTGAATAGGAAACATCAGTTGCAATAATCCTGTGTGATATAAACAAGTGCCTGGGTGAAATGATAGCATTAGGAATTAAAAGAGTATTTTCAAAATAAACTATAAAGCATCCAACATAAACGATCACAGGTTTTAAGTTCTATCTAAAACATGGATACATTTTGCATTCTATTTAATACACCCCTGTTTATTTTAATAAAGTATATTTTACTATAAAGGCAATTTAACATTTTCCTGTCAAATAGTGATAGTCAAGTAGGTGGCACCGTGTTTATCCTGTGACTTCACGTGGCCTCTGAGATCCTCTGGGATGGCTGTATCTGATTTAAGAAATGCAGAAACAGCCCAGATGTGTGACTCTTTGTGTGGCAAGATGGCCCCATGGTGAAAAGCATGGCCTCTGGCATTGCCTTACCCCCTCTTCACCATGGCTCCATCATTTTTAGCACCAGCTTTTCTTGGGCAAGTTGCTGAATCTTTCATTATCCTGAAATTCTCGTTTGTAAGAGAGAGATGACGTTTCAGAGTTCGACTGACAAAACAATGATGTGTTTTACAATCAACGTCCCTCATATTCAATGAAATGAGATAGAACCTACCACACAGGATGGTTATGAGTACTGAATGAATGAATGTAAGTAAAGTACTTTTGAAGGATGCCTGGCACAAGGTAAACACAATATAAAATTTAACCATTATTATTATGTATACAATTTATAAGCTTCAAGATTAAACACACACAGAACAGACTTCTGAGAGCTTTATAGGAGGGCCAGGGAGAAAGAAAAGCCTGGAGCAGGAGAGCATAGCACGCCAGGGAATGGCCGAGAGTAGCTGACATATTCATCCAGCCAACAGGTACGTATACCCGTGGGCTGGATATTTTTCTAGGTGCTGGGGATGACTAGGTACTGGTCAGTAAAAACAATCTTCCTTCATCAAGGATTTAAAGATGAGCAGAGACACTAGGAGTTAATTAAATAACGGGTCCAACAGTGTAAAACTGTATCTTTGACAATGGCCACAGAAGAGACACACAGGTGCCATGAAGCTAAAATGAAGGGCTTTTGGCAGAATTAGGACAATCGGGAAAGGCTGGTCTGAGGAAGTGAGCCTTAAGCTGAAATCAAAGGAATAAGTAGAGTTTCAGCAGGTGAAGTGGGATGGGAAGAGTGCTGAAAACAGAGTTAACAGTAGGTGCAAAGCTCCTGTCTGTGGGCCGGGGCCCCTGCGCACAGCGTGTGAAAGCAGGCTAGTGGAGAACGTGCAGGTTGGTTTGGGAGGACAGGAAGTCAGAGATGCAGCCAGGGTCCAGGTGGAAATGGTGGGGGAGACAATGAAGGGCCAAGACAAATCCTGCCCTCAGGATTCCCCAAAAGGCCAGCAAGGCAAGAGCCCGGCTCCGTGGCTGCGCTCCTCAAGGAAGCTCAGCCATCTCTCAGAGCCCCTGTTCTAGCCCCAGGCCGCTGGCCCTCATGCCAACTTGACATAGGAGGGAGGGAGAGTATGTATGACCCTAGGCTGCATTCTTACAAATGGACAAAGTACATGGGCTTCGATTTCTTTCATCCATTTTACTGAATATGACGGAAATACTTCAAACCAAATAGAAGGCACAACTCCTCAACTACAAATTTTCTGTGTGAGTTACAGCCTCCGCTCTGGACCCCTTCCTCTGCTCAGGGCTCTGTCCTGTCTAAACCATCTCCCCATCTCACCCCTGCACAAAGGCTCTTCCTCTCGCAGGTGGCTTAGAAATGGGATTTCCAGTCCCTCTGTGAAACTCACACATTACGGGAGGAATTCGAGGTCGAGTTATTCATCCTTAGGAAGAATTTACAATGGGAGGTCCAAAAGGGAATGGCTCCTTTGTCATTTATTATGAGGTATTTTAGAGGAAAAGAGACGAGAGAGAGGGAGGAAGAGGAGGAGAAGATGCAGGAAATTTGTAATTAAATATATATACATAATAAGCTCCATTTATATACATATAATCCTTCTATATATAACGTCCTTCATATACGTAAAACATCATTTCTATATGCATAGATATTAAAATCTCCATTAGTTCATATATAGATACATATACATATATATATATATATATACACACACACCCATCTGTATATGTATGATCTCCATTGATTACTAAAGTGAAGATATCAAATAACTCATAGATATCTGGTTAGTACCTGGTTAGAGGGTCTATCCTGGATGGGCTTTCACTGGAGTAGACAGGAGGACGATCAGATGAGACAGATGCTTTCCCCACAGGGACTCTGAGGAAGGGCTGTACAATGGTTAGAAGTGAGAACTCTGAGTGTGACAACCCAAGTTTGAATTATTTAATACCTCTATACCTATGTTACCTCATCTGTAAATTGGGTACTTATTGCTTAGATTTGTAAAAGAATTAAATAATATATATAAAAGCACTTAAAACAATGCTTTATATATAGAAAGCTGTATACATCCATTAACGTTTCCCATTATTTTTTTAATTAATTTTTATAGGAGTATGGTGTTGTGTTAGCCTCCACTGCACAGCAAAATGAATCAGCTATACACATACAGATATCCCCTCCCTTTTGGACTTCCCTCCCATTTAGGTTACCATAGTGCACTAGGTGAATTCCCTGTGCTATACAGCATGTTCCCATCAGTTGTCCATTTCATACACAATATCAATAATGTATATGTGTCAACCCCAGTCTCCCAATTCCTCCTACCCCACCCCTTTCTCCCTTGGTACCCACACATTTGTTCTCTACATCTGTGTCTCTATTTCTGCTTTGCAACTAAGATCATCTATACCATTTTTCTAGATTCCACACATATGCATTATTATGACATTTGCTTTTCTCTTTCTGACTTACTTCACTCTGTATGACAGTCTCTAGGTCCATCCACCTCTCTACATATGACCCTATTTCATTCCTTTTTACATCTGAATAATATTCCATTGTATATATATACCACATCTTCTTTACCCGTTCCTCTGTCGATGAACATTTAGGTTGCTTCCATGTCCTGGCTATTGTAAACAGTGCTGCTATGAACATTGGGGTGTGTGTGTTTTTTTGAATTATGGTTTTCTCTGGGTATATGCCCAGTAGTGGGATTGCTGGGTCATATGGTAGTTCTATTTTTAGTTTTTTAAGGAACCTCCATACTGTTTTCAACAGTGGCAGTATCAATTTACATTCCCACCAACAGTGCAAGAGGATTCCCTTTTCTCCACACCCTCT